TATATATATATATCTCCTTATTTATTTTCAATGGGGGGCAGAGCTGTTTTGCCCAGAGCTGGCGTGAGGCAGTCAGATCCGACCCACGAGTGAAGCCAAGGGAGCAGGAAAGAGGCTGCCAACAGCCCAGCCTGGCATCAGTGCCCCAGCTCTGGAGGAGCCTAGCTACAAAGGGGAAAGCCGTGGTAGCTGGGTCCCATTCTCCCACATCCGTGGGTCTTGTGGGGGAGCGCCTGGGCATGTGGGGTGGCGTTGTGTGAGGGGTGCCAGGCCCCGTGTAGCAATGGGAGGAGTGTCCAGGGGAAATGAACCATGTGCAATACTTAGCTGAGACCCCGACGGTGCCGCCTGGGGGATATCCCAGCTCCCCTCTCGGCGGGCGTGAGGAGCGAGGCAGGGCAATCCAGGCAGGACTTGGCATGTGGCAGAGGGAAGTCGCAGTCCGGCCAGAGGGTGCAGGGGCTGAGAACAGCAAACCCGTGCTTTGTACAGTATTTATAGTGGCTTTCTTAATGAGTTGCCTTTATTTGTTTTGTTTTGTTTCTCTTCCAGCACTTAATTTATGCATTCAGCTTCCAGGTCCCGGCCCCTGCATGTCAGGCAAGGGGCAGAGAGGAGCATGGGGTTGTGCCCAGTCAGTGAGAACTAGTGAGCTCGCTGGCAGCATGTCCTCTCTGCACACCCAGGTACTTCGCAGGCAGGCTCACCCCAAAATACCAGACAGGGCTGACAGGTGCAGAAGTGGGCAGTGACTGCTTGGGGCCCTGTTGGAGGCCCCTGGGCAGGGCTGGCCTTTCAAAAGCACCCCACGTGATTAACATGCGTTGCAACGCCTCCTGATTCTGCTGGGAAGTTGGGCAGTGATGTGAAGGCTGCAAAGCCAGGAGGCAGCACATAAGAAAGGACTTTTGAAAGTCACCTCCCACAGGGCCACTGAGCTACCCTGAGTCACGGCCCTTTTGGCAAAGGACGCCTCGGCTGCCTAAAGTGTGACTCTGAGCTGTGAGGGGCCGGAGCTACGCGTTCTGGGTTTGCACAGGGAGTCCATGGCCACGGCCAGCACCCTGGGGCACTTCCCCTGCACAATAAACAAATGAGATGCTTTGAGCGTCTAAACACATGTCCTGAAGTTTTTTAAAGATGTTGTGCGGTCAGATGTGCCCACGGACACCCTCCCAGCCTGCTGCCTGACCCTGGCTTCTGAGAATCAGGATGCTGATTTAGATGTCAGGACTGACCATACAGATTTAGGCTCCAATTCATTGTTGTTTTAATCTCAGCCCATCTTTCCAAAGACTTTCCAAAGAAAACCTGATGTGGGGTCTCCCAGGGATGTGTACCAGGAGCTAGCTGAGCATCAAAACAATCTGCCTGAAGTCTGTCGCCCACTCCCATAGCTCGCATGAATAGGGCTGACTGCATGGAGGCCAAGGTTGTGATGCCTGCTTCCTCCAGCTGTGGTTCTAGCTCTGTCTAGCACTTGAAAAAGTTTCTTCTACTCAGGTCACTTCATTAAATGCTTATTAAAGCCCTTATTAACAGATTCTGGTTCACAGCAACCAGGGCAATAGACAGGAGAGTGTTTTTGAAGCACAAGGCCTTCTTTGCAGCTCTGAGACAGCTTCTTCCCATCCCTGCCTCAGCAGCTCCCCATTTTTTTTCCAGTTTCACCCACAAGCCCATTGATTCTCCTGCACCCATTTTCCATAGTTAAATATTTGGGGCTTCTTTAAAGGACCAGGGTGGGGGTCAGGACACCTGGGGTCTGTTTTCAGCTCTGCCCCTGACCCCTGAGAGAGTCACTTCTCTCCTCTTTGTCCCTCCCCTTCCCTTGCCTCTTCGCCTGTCTTGTGTAGTGAGGCTGCCAGCTTGCGCAGGCAGGGATTGTTGGCTGCTCTGTGTTTTTGCCTTGGCTCACTCAAGGTTAATAGCGTAATCCTGAGGCTACCAGTGAAAGTTTCTGCATGTTGGAAAAAGGCGTCCTCTGAGTGAGATGGTTCTTCTTTTAAGAAAGGCCTGACGATATTCCCATGTGTACAGGTCAGATTTTCTTGTGTGTTGGGGTAGGAGCGAGGAAGGATTGACGGGACCTTGTCTTGCGAGGAAGGATTGAAGGGATCTTGTCTTGCACCTTTTGAAGGGACTCCTGTAGGGTCTGTAGAAGCAGTGGGGTTTAACCAAGGGGCAAGTCCAGCGTCTGAGTGGATGATATTCCCAGCCCTTAATCTAACTTCCATCCAGTCCAGTGGGAAGGCGGCTCTCACCAACTTCCATACTCTTGGCTATGGCCACCAGTGAGCAGAGGCCAAAATCAGCACTGTGATGGACCAGTGTGTGCCGGTGGTAGAGATTGGATGCTAAGTGCAAGAGCAGAGGGTTTGATGCAGAATTTCTGGGGCAGGAGGGACCAGCTGGCAGTGTAGACAGCATCAAGCCAGTTGGCCTAGCCTCTAGCCAAATACTGGGGCCTCGCTTGGGGCCTCGCTAGGAGCCACCAGATCCCTGACTCAGCAAAGCACTTCAACACACATTTAAGATGCTGTGAAGCCAATGCGGCCTCACACACATACGTACAGTGGAACATGGACTTAGTCACGTGCTTTGAGGTGAGCAGGTATGTGAGTGCTTTGCCCTTGATGCCGGCAAGCAAGATACCCTCCCCTGTCCCAAATCAGCAGCATGAGCTCCACTCTGAGCCCTGGCTGCCGGACACACATGGGATTGCAAGGCAGATCCCAGGTATTGATTTCATAGATGTTATAGACATCAGGGCTGGAAGGGACCTCACGATATCATCAGGTTCAGCCCCCTGCCCAAGTCAGCTGGGGTCAGATCACCCCAGCAAGATAAGCATCCAAATGTATAGCATCCAAGATAAGCATCCAAATATATAGTATAGCGCCTTCAGCACCCATGATATAGAGGCTTCCTGGGCTAAAGAAATAGCATACTGTGCATGGCCATCACATACGGGGCACCATGTGCCCCTGGGCCGGTCACGAGTCCTGCTCACATCCAAACCCAGAGGTCACCCGGGAAAGTCCACACCAAATAGAGCATGGGGCTGTAGCTCTTCTCAGGCATGTGAATTTTCCTCCCAGCCTCGTGCTGAACTCTCACGCGACCACCCATAGTATTTAACCTGTCCAGGACATTGATGCTTATTCTCCTTCTCCACTTTGCAAGCATACAAGGGCATTGTGGCAGCAGGGTCTTAGTGGCCATGTTATCCAGTATTGCTTGGCCCTGTCTAATCCCCACCACTTAGAGCAGTATACCCCTGGGAACAACCATTGGGGATGACAGCCCAAGCACTGTCTTGCTTCCCATTGCTGGAGGTTACAAGAGCTCATGTCCATCTTGCCAGCTTCCTCAGTGGGGAGGCAATTGTGATCTTCAGGGATTAGACCGCATGTAGCGCGTGTTTTAGCACTGTGTGTGCAGTAGGAGGGATCAAAGCAGATTCTCAAGCTCAGTGTGAGGGTGGTAGGAAGGAGAATAACAGGGGTGATTGGCATTGCCGAAGCATGGCTGCTCTAGGGTGTGGGTAGGGTGATCTGGGCTGGGAAATGAATGAGGCAGCGAGCTCACTTACCCATCCTCTCATTGAAGCCTCCACCATCTCCTAGATGCTCCAGACAAATGGATGAGGCATCTCTGTCCTCAGGAAGAGACAAACCTCACGCCCCTTATCCATGCAGACTCCCTGGAGCATCCCGTAAAGGAGGTGGGACAGGCATCAGGGTACCCCGAGTTGGCTGACCTTGCCACAGACAAGTTCCTTAATAAGAGCGGGTTTCACTGATGCAGGTGGGCAGTGAGCTGCAGGGGGTTCAAAGCCCCAGAGTGTTTAATGGCATGTTAGACAAGCTGCGGGGGAGATGGCCAGGTGGAGGTTCATAGCAAACAGTGTGAAAGTCCCTCCCTCGACAGCTATTTGCAGGGGGCTCCAGCTCTATCCAGAGCCTGCTGGAGTCCATGGGAGTCTCTCTTTTAACAGCCTCTGGATCTGTCCCCAGCCTGGAGGCAGCCAAGTGATCTGTACTCCCAGTGCACTAAGCAGCCCCTTTCCCAGGACCAGACCCCAGGTTCAGTGTGCCGTGCTTCCCCCATGACAATGAACAGCACCCGATAGCCAGCACCTTGCTGCTGTTTGGGGTACGATCGATGGGCACAGAGGAGCACCGGTGCTTAACCCGGAGCTGGAGACATCACATAGAGCAGGTTGGCGTTTCAGACAGCTCCCACCCCCTCCTTCAGCTGCCTGTCTGCAAATGAATCCTCAGCTCTCCGAGCCTAAGGCGGCGATTCCCAGCCGAGGTGCAGAGAGATGCTTTTAAGGGCAATGCACAATATTAGCGCTGTTAGGTGTGCAAAAGTCTACACGGGATTCCCAGGATAAACCCAGAGATTTCAAATAGGAATCCAAAATGTCCAAATCATTCTGCCCTTTTGTGGGCTTCCTGAGCTCTTTGCAACAGGAGAATGGCTGTAATACATTTTTCCGTAGTCAAAAAATGAGTGAAAGCAAAGAGCTGGCATTTTCTGAGGGGGGCCTTGAGTCTAACAAGGCTGCCTCCCAGCTGAAAAGGTTGAGACTCTGGCCTAAGGGGATCATAGTAATCATCCAGTTGGCTGTCCTGAACGCATGTCTTTCATCTGCTGCTTTCTGGACTGTCCACTCTCTCTGATGATTTTTAAACAGTCTAATAGTTAAGACCTTAAGTTCAGATATTTAGGGAGGGTTGGATGCTGACCTCCCATTGACTTCACAGAGGGAAAGCGTTAGGGGGGTCATTATCGAAAGAGTTAGGGGGGTCATTATCTGAATACACATGAATGTACATGCTATATACAAGGAACATACATGAATATCCATGATAAAGACATAAGCTTTTAACAACCTTGGATTAAGTTTAGAAAGCAGTCTCCAATGCCCCTGCCTGGGTTGACTTATGCTGTT